AGGCGACGTGGAAGCCGTGACGCATCAGTGACAGACAAATAGGTGCAAAGAGAGAAACTTTTCGACGCGATTTCACGTCATTATGCAAAGCGCTGTAACGAGATGAACGATAGTGCGTCGCCAAGTTCAGATTCGGATGTACCCGCGCCAGAGCAGCCCTACACTAAGTCATTCCCGCCAGCGGTCTTTTAGAGATACTCGTCGTATAGTTGGGTACGATTGATTGCAGCCCTTTGACCCGCTCAGCACCCTGTAACACTCCCCGGAAGTATCCCAGAGGGTATAAGGCGTAAAAATTGGATTCGCACGCTATCGCAACGGGTTCCCGTCATCCCGTGGCTGTTGACTGCAACAGGTGAGGATCGCTCAAGGTGTGCGCCGTGCGCGTCTTGGCCTTGACGCGTGACGTCACGCGTCGACCCCATCCTCGGATTCTCGAGACCTCGACTTGCTCGCCCGTACGATCATAGCAGGCAGTACGCAGGTGCCAAGCTATCCATAAAGCTTTATATGCCAAAGTGTGGCGATGCGAGTACATATCAGTAGCCAAGAGGAACAGCCACGACCGTCGATTCGCAACGAGTGTCTCAATGTCGCCTGAAGCGTTTGCGGGGCAGCGCAATGCCTGCGATCGTAAGAGCGAGCAAAAAAGCCACTATGTTTCAGAGTGCAATCCTCTAAGCTGGACTCGAACCAGCGGCCTCGGGGATAAATCCAGTGCTACCGCCCATATCCTCCCCGCGCTCTGCCACTGAGCTATCAGAGGGTACAAACCGTACCGTCCAGCTTAGACGGGTGCGCGACGTGCGAGATACAACTGTGAGTATGTGCGCGCAGTACAAGAACCCTACAAGCACAGACATACACATATCATTCCAGCTCATCTACATACTCCTCGCTCCGGCTCTACTCCTCCCTGGCTCTCTTCGCACCACCCCCACTCCCTCTGCCGCTGGCTCTCGGCGTCTACTTGCCGCTCACACCCGCAAACTTCCAGTTCACCCATTATACCAATCACCAAGCCACCTCATCCACCCCTCCCCCATCATCGCCTGCTGCGCCGAGCGAATACAGGTTCGACGCGCCAAGATGCCGTTGGAAATTCCCAGGTTCTGGCGGAACCTCGCCAATTCTCTGTCGCCTGGGTCGAAGTAGGAATCACCATCCCAGTAAACGAAGATGACATACGCCGATGTGCGGTAGTACGGTGATAAGAGCATGCCGAATGGAAGAGGTCATGTCGAGAGATCGGGTAGAAGGGGCAGCCGTATGGAACATGTGAGAGACGCGCGCGTTTCAAGGCATATGATGAGTTGTGGGACGGATTCGGGGAGCGCGAGCGCTCGGTGTCGTGGGGTGCAGATGCTTTCGAGGCGCACTGGTGAGGGTCCTACTGTATATCTCACCAGTCAGGATCGTCATGTGGGATATTTAGAGCAAATGACATACCTTGGCGGGCATGCGTGGTCACTGCAGTAGTCTGCCGCTGCTTTCTTCACAGGAAGCAGCGTTTGAATCGACGTTTTGAGTCGATCGACCGTCATTATCGCGGCGTGCGATTGTTGCCGCGTAAGTCTGCACTGCGGTCTAACAAGCATATACAGGCATCCAGGCCACTATCCCGAAGGATGGGACAGCACAAACTCTCATTCAACTGTCGTATGCGCTGACTCGAGCTTTCACCAGATTTAGCCGCTGATCCCAAGTCAATGTAAGCACATCCAAGAATAACCTCGGCGCGTTCCCAAGCTATTCGTAGAGTAGCTGTCCTATATTTGTCACAACACGCCGCAGTAGGATGGTACGAGGCGCCCGGAGAACACGGCCGTTGGACAAGCGCCCGTTCTGGCCGTCATACGCGAGGTGGCTGAATGGAGTTGTACTATGTAGTCGGAACTTGTCGGGTTTGAGGGAGGTGTAGAGGTTGCATGTCCGTAGCGTAGCGGCGCGCATGTTAAGGCAGATGGGAATCTATGCCGCTGGAGGGGAAGTGCTGCAGGGCCCACGAAGCTCGAAGACGCGCCGTGCGAGTGCAAGCCTGTTGATGACGCGCGAGCGACGTCGATGAAGAGCAAGAACGGTCAAAGCGTGCCGATTGTCGTGCGAGGCCTGGCAGAGGAATGCCATGGGATGTGTGCGGGTCCGAGGATATCGAAACAAACATCCGAGACAGGCCAGGGCTTCTCGCAGTTACGTGCGCGGCGACTGTATGTATTATAGGTCGACCAAGTATAGATACATTGCAAGAGCGGCCAAGTTGAATGCGTCTATTCTCGCATATGGCGAGTACGGAAATAAAAATGGGGGGAAGGGAAGCAGCGGGCCTGCGGATTTGCATGGCGGGCGGATATTATGGATCCGGGTCGGGGGGGAGCGTGCCTTTCCGTGGTGTTGATGAGCCCGGTCCAGCTCGCGCCCTCCTTCGCACCCAACACCCGCCTGCTCTGCCAAGCCCTCCGTCGCTGCAGCCAAGAGAACGACCGAGCGTGCATTCTGTTCCAACAAAAGAAAGCAAAGCCAGCATGGGACGCAGGAAGATCGAGATCCAGCCCATAACGGTGCGTGTCGTCGTCGTCGTCCCCCGTCCTCCCCTGCGTCCAGCTCTTCGCCAGGGCAGGGCAAGTGTAGTTGTATGGAGGAGTACTGATGGAGGCAATGCTTTATATCGTCACAGAACGAGCGGAACCGTGCGGTGACCTTTTTAAAGGTATGCCAAGCCTTTCCTGCACGCTGTTTTTGGGTACACCGCTGACGGCTTGCTGTGATCCCTCCCAATTCAACTTCGCCACTCGCCATCATCATGTCAACTACTACTATTAGAGGAAGCAAGGCCTGTTCAAGAAGGCGTACGAGCTCGGCGTGCTCTGCAGCGTCGACGTCGCCGTCATCATTTTCGGTGCGTCGTGGGTCTATTTCTGGACGACAAGTCTTGGCTGACTTGAGGCTGGCGATAGAGCGTAGGCAGGGCTCCGAGAAGCTCTTCCAGTACTCCTCGGGCGACGCTCAGGCTATAATAAACAAGCAGGCTCGCGTACGTCTTACTAATCGTCATTGTTGCTTTGTCGTCGTCGTTTACTAAGGGGCGTGGTGCACAGTTCGAAGGCGAGCGTAGTTTGCAAGGTCCCGCCGACTTTAATGGCTCTGCGCCTGGCGGTAAAGGAGGTGCCGCCAATGACGACGATGAGGACGACGAAGGCGATGGCGAGGCCGACGAGCTCGCCGCTCAGCCTCAGCCCGCGACGCCCGCTTCGTCCTCGGCGCCAGCTGCCCCTGCACCGGCCAAGTCCAAAGGCAAGGCCAAGGCTCCTGCACCGGCAACCTCCGCCTCGAGAACTACGATCAAGACAGAATCGCCTACGGTGACCATATCGAACGAAGTATGTTTACCATCTTCAATATTTAAGATATTCGACCCTGATCACGAAACTATAGGAGCATCCCCCGCCGTCGCCTACCGCTTCGTCGACGCCTTCTCCTCCGTCCGCGCCCCATCGCGCCTCGACCTCGAGCGCACCTCGCGACGCTGAGCGCACTCACCGCTCCAAGGACAAAGACCGCACCGAAGCTCCCCGCGCCCGTTCACGCTCTCCCGGTCCACCCCGCGGTACATCCTACCCATCCAAACGCGCTCGTCTCTCTCCACCTCCTTCAGGCTATCCCTTCCGTATGGACCTTGATCTATCAACATTACCTCCTCCAATGAGTCTAGGCCTCGGAATGTCTATCCCACCATACTACCATCCACACGCCCATCATCCACATCGATCCTACCCACCACCACCACCACCAGGATCACAGCACTACGCACCTCCATACCCATACACCCCCGACGCCTACCATCTCCCTCGTATTTCGCACCCGCAAGGCCCGTCGAGACGTACAAAACGCTCCGCAGAGGAGATCTTGGCAGATTGTTGGAACGGTATCCCTTCAGCCAATCAAGCTGCCGAACTAGCTAGTCTACTCGAACCTCCGGACCCAAACGAGCCCTTAGACTTCGATTGGCCCGTCAGCACTCCTCATTCGTATGGTACGAGCGGATTTGGATCTGGAGGAGGAGGGAGAGTTGATGATCCGACGGGGTGGTTGGAACTGTTGGGCGGGCTGGATCCGCCTATGAGGTCTACGGGTGGGGGATCGAGGGAGACGCCTAGGGCTAGTGGAAGTGGAAGTGGTGGGGCGAAGAGGGCTAGGGCCGAAGAGTCTGGTGAAGAGTAGACGGCTTGAGATTGATGGTGGACTCGTGCTTTGATGTTTGGACTCTGCTGTAGGCTCACTATGGACGAGCGCATGCTTCGATCTACGACTTGTAGAAATGTGAAATGGACATACTTGCTTTTTCACTCCTCCGTCCGTATAGGTATAGGTCGAACGGTACGGTGTGTACCCTCTGATAGCTCAGCGGAAGAGCGCGGGGAGTATATCCAAAGGAAGGGTATCGACACATTTATCCCCGAGGTCGTTGGTTCGACTCCAGCCCAGAGGGTCGTCCTCCTGTAAGCGTGCTTTTTTCTGTCTACAGTCGCGGTTGCGTTTCGGCGCTTCGGTTGACACTGACAGGCGCGGGCGTAGCTTTGGAGGCCAAGGTTTGGCATTGCGAGAACGCATACGTTGCCCCTCTGGCGCCTATCAATTTCACTCTAGTTTCTATGAACGTATCTAATGATCTGAGCAACGTATTATTAGCGTCTGGCCAACCCTCGCCATGATTGTGCGGACGCGTATTGGCTGACTGGCAGCTGGCATAATTGCCATAATCGGACGCGCTGACGCGTGACGTCACGCGTCAAATCCAAAACGCCCTCGAGGCTCGACTCCACCGCGCGTCTTCGTCAGATGCTTTTAGTGAACGCCACGGGTCGTCCAAACCCACGGGTTGCGGGGACGGGGTTCGACGGGGACGGGGACGGGGCTGGCGAGGCGCACCCGCGCCCAACCCGTCAGCCCCGCGGGGTAGGCTGGGTAGGCGGCCACGAGCGATTTCCGCGCCGCCATGGCTGGGTATACTCCCCGTACTCCCCATACGCCCTTCTGAGAGGCTCTAAGAAGCTCTCTACGATGTAGCGAAGCTTCAGACTAGGGTTCAGCGAGTGCAAACCCGTCGAACCCGCCTCCCGTCCCCGTGGGAAAGCGAACCCGTTCCCGTCTGCGCGGGGACGGGGACGGGTCGTCTCACGCGACCCTACGGGCACCCCGTGGCGTACACTAGATGCTTTCGGCCATCATGAGCACCCATAGCGTGCTACGATTACCCTCCTCATTAGGAGGTGTGCATTACGAGGTGTGGCGAATCATTCTCGGTTCGGCCGGCTCCGAGCAAGGTCGCGGGGCCGCGGCTGGCGGCAACCGTCTCGTTGACTTGCCTTCCACCTCGTCTTCGGCCATTTTCAGTACGATTTGCATGACGATATTCAATCTGATACAGCAGTTACCCAACACTTCTGTCATTTTGCGACTTGTCCCTGGTTGCACTACTGCTGAATGCTCACAGGACCGGCCGTTATTTGAGTTGTTCTTTGGGACTGCAAACCGACGCATCCTTGCGATTCTAGAGAGCCGCCCACTTCAAATCCCGGAACTATGGTATCCGAATTCCTTGGACACTGTTCCTCTTACTACATGTTCAGCATGGAAGTCATCTGACAGCCACCTCGTCGTCGTGGACCATGCCCATATGTATGTAGATCACGCGAGCGTCGTCGGACATGGCGAGGCAAAACCAGCATATATGCGTTCCACATCTATGAGAAGAGTAGGTTAGCTTCCCCCAGCAATGACGTCGAGACAGGTATTAGTGGGGCGAGTGACGCACCCTGCACACTCTACGTGGTGACATCCTTCTACCTTGTAAATTGGTATCCTGCACTGCGGGCAGCGCTTCACGTCCCCACCCTGAGCATGCATCCACTCGTCAAAGACTCGTTCCTGTTCCACTGAATTGCGCAATGAGCGATTCTCCTTGCAATTTTGAGTTCCGTGTCCCTCTAGATGACACGCCGGGCATAGCACTAAAAGACAGCCTGGACATTGTATAGGTTCTGGTTGGGGATCATCTGGCGCACAAACACGATATAGTTTCTCGCAACCAGGTGTCGGACAGTTCCTGAGCTCAGTGGGGTGTTGCGAGACGTATAATGCAAATGTCCTTTCAAGTAGACGCATGAACGTGGGAGGGTGAAGGAAGCGTTTTATAAGCGGGATGGCAATGGGGACATTGCAATGCCCCTCATCTCCCAAGCACATCAGCGAAGGTTTAGGGAAATCCAACGCGTGCATGATCAAACGGCGTAGACACGGTGAGCAGTATGTATGTCCGCATCCTAGTTTCACGCCGGGCGCGTTGACGACATCGAGACATATAGGGCAAATGCCACTGCTAGGAAACGGCAATATCGCCTTGATACGTGATGCCTCTAAGATGATGCGTGTGGATATATATTGACTTTCATATCCCCCCGACGTAGCCAGTACGTTGGCAGCGGGATCAAAGTGTACATTCTCCGAACCCAAAAGCTCGCGGAGCTCAGGCAGCCCCTGGGCCACAAAGGACTGCATGGATGCACTAGGTATTTTGATTATGAATGGACGAGTAGACAGACGAGCGATCTTATGTGTAATCATCGTGCGCGCAGAACTGATTGCTTGAGAGCTCCCGTACAGGCTAATCTGGCGCAGACGCCGATCAACACAGATGTATGCGCCACTCTTGGCCATGACTCCAGAAATAAAGGCGCTGATTGAGCGCTCCCTAAATCGATCGTGCCAGCCAACCAGTTTCTCTCCGGCTGCAAGAGCCTCGGCACGTATCTTCATTGCACCAACAGCCTGAGGATCTGTTCCGGTCACAGTGAGGCGCACATCTGAAGTGTCACGAATACGTAACTTGACAAGGCTGCATTGAGTCCTGTCGTAATCGCGTATCGAGTGCTTTAGATCGACCCATTGCGACAACTGAGCAGCATACTGTGCAGCGGGTATGGCTATGGCGTACTTGGGTACGGAGAAAGAGACATCAAAGAAGAGGCCGCCTAGCAAAGTGCGACCATTGAGGTAATCGTAAACTCTCGTTACAATGTCTTCTGACGAGAAACGCGCACAGAACTGCGGCATCCCCTCCAATGCGCCATCGGTGATGCTCACTGGCTCCAATGATACTATGTCGGAAGGAGTACAACCAGAAGAGCTCAGAGCAGAACGAATGACCTCAAGATCACTAGGCGTACTAGTCGCGCGGACGGATGAGGCATGAGGTCCAGCAAGACTGAACACCTCGGCATAGGTGATGGAAGTAGGAAGATTTCTGATCCTTATAGATTCAAGTGCGATATTTTCGGGGTGGCCAGGAGGTGGGGCAAGCCTCTCAACGCAAAGCCGACGGCCGAAGTAAGTATATCCATTCAACTGCTTGACTTTTTGATCTATGATGTCGATAGGCGTCTCAGAACTGTACGACACCACATAGCACGTAGAGATCGGGCGCCAGGAGATGAAAGCTTCTCGAACAAGCGAAATCATTCCTCCGGGTGGTGTGTATGGTTGGACTTCGAAGGAGAGTCGATGGTCTCGAAATTCTATCCCTTGTAGTCCAGCAGATAGCGCGCGTCCCCACTCAATGTCCATCACCATCCTCACGTCCCGGGTCCCGTCCGAAAGCACCTCGTTGTGCGCGAGGTAGAGACGAGCTTGGTCAACGGCCGTACCGCCTTGTTGCGTGAAAAGTGCAAAAATATCTTTATCAGAGGCATCGACCGGAAGGCCGCTGACACGAACAACACAGGCCTCAAAGCCAGTGATGAAGCCCAGAACCTGCAGCCCCGCCCCGAAAGTGACAATTGAGCCAAGGAACGTCCGCTGCGTTGTCGCTGAAGCATCATGATCAGCCTGTTTCTGCAGTCTGGCGCGCTCTTCGTCCTCGAGAGCACGACGTTGATCCGTGGTGAAATCTGAGAAGCGTTCTATATCTCCTTCTTCCCAAAGGCGTGCCTGTCGTTTGAGCTTGCGCTTGCCGCTGGCTTCCAAGGGACCGCTTAAATGTCCCGGAAGTGCGCTCAACGCAACCACAGAGCGTGGTCCCGTGGACTGAGCGGTCCCAGGAGAAGGAGATGCTTCGACAGGTAGGTCAGCATCGGCACTGTTTGTCTCTGTACGTTTGGTAAGTAACCTTTTTCTGAAGACAGCCAGGAGAACCCCTGTCTCCTTCAAACGCGCACCTGGTACTCGTAGTGTAATAGGGCACGTCAAAATGATGCGGCAGGGAGGGTCTCTAAGAGATATTGGCTTGAATCATGCACGTCAGCTCATTTCTTCGTTGACCCCTTCCAGTGAAATCTACTGACATTGCGATAAGCGTCACTTGTATCCCTATCTCGTTCGGATGACGATCCCGTCGTGAACGGCCACGTAATCCTGAGCGGCTGAGACGCCAGTCTTCGAGGGCCGCGTAGGCACGAAGAGATGCTCGACGAGGAGCCAGTATCGGCAGGTGACGAACGTGATGGCATTGGCTTGCAATATTTCCGTTCTATTATGCGGGAAAATAAGTCCAGGTTCAGTAAGGGCAACAAGAGATCGTTACAGTCAGCGGCCAAGTGCGGCTTTATAGAAAACGCGGGCGAGTATCCGGACAACAGAATCGAATTGGCATAGTTGGTGAGATACCCAGGTAATACGAGACTTTGCGAAGCACGACTACGAGAATTGCATGTCCTCGCCTTGCCATGTACACCAACACATCTCCACGGGCGCAGGCGCCACTACACATCGGGCGCTTCCGTCGCACGTTGACCCAATTCATGCAGGTACAGCGATAGCCTTCTGTACGCCCGGTACATGTGTGGGCCCATGGTAGACGCGAGTAAGGCGCCATCCTGCACTCTCAAGAAGCGCTCGAAGCTGTGTCACCGTCCGTTCCTTGCCATTCAAGGTCGCAAGCATCTACAGACATCATCAGCCACAAGCCATTGCTAGACCTCCTGGTACGCACCCTCAGATCAGTTAAGTACTGCGTAGCGCTGAGCGCAGGAAGCAACGGTGATGGCGGCAATGTCCTAGCCGCGCCGGGGACATCAGGAGCCTCATCATCTGGGCTGAGATACCGAATCAGACTATCGACGATGACCAACTCAGTATGAGGCGCTGCGGCCTCGCGCAGCCGCTTCAAGATGCCCTGCGCTGGCTCGTCCGCCCAATCGTGCAGGATAGCACTTAGGAGAAAGACGCGTGCGTCCTTCTGCGGCTGGCGGGCAAAGAAGTCGTTGGCTGGAGATGCATGAGCTTGACGTTCGCAGAGTGGGCTCCCGGGCCGAAGTCATTCACCTTGCAGGACGACGCGTCCAGACGACACTGCGTCAGGCATGTCGGACCAGAACTTGATATTCGAGTGAGTTTGAGGGCGAACTTGAGAGGACGGTCCTGCATATTACACACCTCCACTGCCGCCTCCACGACGGGTGCACGGTCTTGTACAACGATCTTCAAATGCGGATG